TAAGTGGAAGGGCAGTTATTATACAAAGACCATGACCTTCTCTTCTCTTTTGGGATGTCTCATAATAGAACATTTAATATTGACCAGGACTTGAAAACTGAGGTAAATGGAAGAAGGACAAGGAAGCTAGTCTTTACGGAGGGCTTCCCATATACCCAACGACGTACCAGAAGTTCTACACAGAGTGTACCTTTCAAGTAGGGATTATCACCTGCCTCTTCTGTGTACAGTTGAGGAAAACTGATGCTCAGTGACATTAACTAACAGTCTCCACAGCCACACATCTGGTAAGTGGTAGAGCTGTTGCTGTGCTACCTGAAAAGGCAATGGCCTTGAAAGTTTGCCCCTGGAAATGCGACTGTTGGTGATAAAGCTTGTTATTTGACCTTTGAGTCTGGTGAGTCCTGACCATTGGTCAAGCGGGTAGTGTGAGGGCTAATTCTGCAGAGACAAGGCAGGGAGGCCTCTTGCACAAGCTCTTGCATCAGCCCATCTTATCCTGGCATGGGTGACAGGGACCTATCACTCTGTCCAGCCTACCTTTTTACAGGCCCTCTTATCAAGTCCAGTGAACTTCTGACACTGCTCTTTACCTGGGTTTTCTCATAATTCACTTGGTCAGCAACAGGCTTGGGATGCCCTTTGAGAGTGTTTACTGGGACAAGGTTTTCCTCAGGGCAGGCAGGGCTGCTGAACTGTGATGTGTTTGAAGCTCAGGAGTGGATAAAGGTTGGCTACATAAACCTGAGCTCTCTTTGTCACCTACTTTCCTCATCCTATGGATGGCTCAACAACTATCCTATGATGTCTTAATAGGCTGAGTTTAGAGGCTCTTAGTATTTGACTTCGTGAGGGCTTAAGTTAAATACCGTTCAGCTCAGCTGGCCAAGGCCCACCCCAAACCCCAGGCTCTCTGTCGTTTGTGAGCAAAATGAACCCACTGGAACAGTGCCTGCATCAGGCCCCAGACGCCATCTCCTTCAGGGATGTTTTTATTTTTCCATTCAACTAAAGATGGACCCTCCACCTCTATCAGAAATATTTCTTCACTATTTCCCTCCCCTAAATGTCCCACTTTTCCCACTTTCGTGCCCTAGCCATGTGTGGTTATTTTCCTTCTTCCTGTCCACTTAGGCTCTTCCAACCTAATGCGTGACTGGTCTCTTCATTCTTCAAGTGGACAGAGAGACGCAGACAACAGTTGAGAAAGATGCTTTGGTGATAGTGACCTTGCTGGAATCACAGTTGGGGTCTTACTAGCCATTAGCTTTATTTGTGGGATCAGCATCCTTCATTGCCCCTGGAAAAAAGACTGTTGGCAATAAAACCAGGGGATCAAGGATTATACATCGTTGAGGTTCTAGTGCTCCATGTAGGCATCTTAATCTACTCCAGTCTACACAGATCTCTCCCTTCTTTAAACTCATGAGTTCATCCCACCCTCTGAGTCATTCTGTAAGTGTTTTTAGTGTTTAGATAGACCTGTAAGTCCCCGGAGGGCAGGAGTGATGTCTTCTAAATGTTTGTCCCTCAACACATGGCACAGTGTGGATACACAGGTCCAAGATTGTTGTTTGCCTTATTGAAAGTTAATGTATATTAAAAGTGCAGAGAGTAAACACATCCCTTGCCACACACATACTTCTCCAGTCCACCAAGTGCTGCCAAAGCTGGGGTACACCCCATAGACTGCTTGTCCTAAAGTACTGTGACTGCCTGGGGAATAGGCTCTATTCCCTGCTAGACTAGGAACTCTAAGCATGCTTTCCCCATGCTGAACACACTTCCTGGCACATAATAGGTGCTCAGATATCCAAATGCATGTGTTATGAGTGAACCTTGACCTTGCTCAGGTCGGGCTGCTTAGC